ATAATAAACAAAAACAAAAAATCAAATCCTCAAACAGTGACTCATACAAATTAAACAATTTCAAATTGTTTTAACAATTTTGCTTTGATTGTTTTTTTAAAGAAATTAATTGATCCAATGCTTTTACAATCATTTTCCAGATTATTCTTATACCTTTCACTGAAGTGCATCTGTCCTTCAAATTTGTTCGAAATTTTTGGTTTAATAAACATTTGTAGTCCCTTCAAATTATAACAGCTTTCCCTTTTAACAAAATTTGATTGGATATTTGAAGGTAACACATTTTTATGAGTTTTATACACAACCTGCAAAATATGATATCCAACCAACTCATAAAATTTTAATAATTTTAACTGATGTATTAGATGGGTGATAGTAATGCTTTCTTATAATAATTCTTATGGCTCTTTTTTGTAAAATAAAAATAGGATTAAATCCCCTTTACTATTACTGAACTGTTTAAAGCTTTGMTTGAACCGATCTGGGTAAACAACAGCCTTAATGGTTGAGCTCCTAATGACCCAGCTAAATGATGATAACTGTGTAGCAGACAGAACRGTCTTCACTGTTCTCACAGCTAATGTGACATGCCAGGAGCAGTGTTAGTAAGGAGTGATTTGTTGGAGGTGTTAAAACATGAACATATCCACCCACGTAGCAGACCATGTAGCTGTCCATGCTGAATATCAGTTCCTTCTCCTCACTTCCTGCCCTCTCTGCTTTCAGGGCTTCTGGCCTTTGGCGTGAGCGAGTCTGCGCTGGTGAACAAAATCTTCACGGGCATCAACCTGGTGGTTCTGGGGTTCGTCATCATATCCGGCTTCGTTAAGGGGGACACAGCCAACTGGAACCTGACAGAAGAAGACTACCTCAGCTTCAGAAACACCACCTCTAATTTCACAAAGTGAGTGTTTGACACCGTCCTCCAGCAACAAAAACAGATTTTTTTCCTGTTGCAGTTTCTGCAGTGAATATCCGTGTTAGTGCTTAAAAAAAACCCGCAGCCAACACCTTTGAATGGTTTTCTTTCTGCTGCCGCTCAGGTTGGAGGAGGAGTTTGGTGATGGTGGTTTCGCTCCGTTTGGCTTCAAGGGGATCTTGAGTGGTGCGGCCACCTGCTTCTACGCCTTCGTGGGCTTTGATTGCATCGCCACAACAAGTGAGTATTTGGTTTATTTTCCAAGCAGGGGTCTCTGTAGCACACAGGGGGAGTTTGTCTTAACTGTGATTGACAGTTTTGCTAAAGCGTGATTGGTTGACTTGTCTTGTGGGGGATGTTAAAAGATGAAGCAACGGTAGTAGAATTATTGTGAACATGTAAATATAATTTAATTAATTCAATTCCTGTCTGGATTTATGACTAATATTAATATTCAGATTAAGAAATGAAAATTGTTTTCCAGCTGAATTGTTACACGTCCCTCCACATGTACAGCGTTCAGATTTCATGCAGTTAGTACCACTCCTATCTTAAGTTATGACTCAAATTAATATTTATATTTCAAAATATACGTGCTTTCTGGCCGTTTCAACCGAGTGTTTTTCAAACGTCACCCAAAAAAATCAATCCGACCAATCATTAAGCTCCGCCCACACAACAAGAAACTCCCACCTAGTGACTGCAGAGACCCTTATTTTCCTTATTAATTAAGAAGTAATTTAAGAGAGAGTTGTTATAACCTTAAAGGGATAGAGATATTTGTAAAACCCAAATTCAGAACTAGTTTGAAGGAACGGTGTACTTTAATTCGAGGACTAAAACTGTTGAATAATAAATGCAGGATCATTGTGTACATTTAAGAAAATGTTAAAAGTGGGATTGCTAAAGAAACTGCAACAAATGTCCACCTAACCAAGTTTTAAAATCTTATATCCAGCAAAAAAGTCTTTTTGATCTTGTTTTGAGACTGATTTACTC